GACCCCTAGACTCGATTATGACACTTCACTAGGTGTCAGATCGGGTTATCTTTGATATGTCAATCAGTGAGATCCTTAGATGGGGATCAAAACCTGGGTATGTTGGGACAATCTGAGAACTCATCTAAGTGGGTGATCATAGTGACAGGATCAACCCCTTTGTCGGACAAGGGTAATGATCGGGAATGCACTCTCTCTGATGGAAACCAAACTGCTGACAGTTGATTTCAATCGTTGAAATTTTGTTTTGCAAAATTAATATATATATATATATGTATGTATATGTATATGTACGGTTTCGAAATGTTTGCAAATGGTTTTAATTCCCAGGATCCATGTGAGTGGAGAGTGCGGCACTGTTCCTTGCAGCCGAGGAGAGGTCCTCTCTTAACGGGCAGTGCTTGATCATTAAGGGCTGAGAGATTAAGTGTAAGACCATTTAGGATAGTACCTGACGGGCTAATCTTGCACCTGCCCACAGTCCCTAGGTTTTTATAAGATGGCTTGGCCCAATGACCACTTAATGTAAGTGTTGGGCCCATAGGGCCCATGTGATGGACTCAGGGGTTTACTGAGTTTTTCAGTGAATTCGGCTGAGCCTTATAATAAAGGTTGGGCCGAACCCATGTGGCTGGTGTGTACATCAATGCTTGGGTCCCACGCCATACAAAGAAGCCCAACTGGGCAGCAGATTGGAAACTACTTAAGCACTGAACACTTAATGGGCCAAAAGCCAATTTCGAGCTTGGCTGATATAATCACCCATCTATGGGGCGGATCTGAGATTAATGTTAGCAAAAGGATTGGGCCTTTAGCCTTATCCACTCTTGGAGACCCAATTCAAATCAGATTTGAATCTGGTAACCTCCTGATAAGATCAGGAGTAACCTAACTTAATCTGCAAATAGGATTAAGATCATCCCCTATCCAAATACTGATTTGGATTGGGATAACTCCTAATTAGGAGGTTTCTTAATCAAGAAGAAATGAGGAGAAACCAGAAGATAAAAACATTAGATTTCGATCAAGGGGTTTTTGAGAAAGCAAGAAAGCTTCCTGCGAATAGAGATTAGATCTCATTCACACTCCAGAGAGAAGATAAACAATTCAGCCATCTTCGTCCTTGGAGTTCTCCTCCAGCCGCCGCCATTCCTTCTTGCAAGATTTAATCTTTGAAGAAGAAAGAAGTCAATAAATCAGTTCTTGACATCAGTCTTGCAGAAAAGACTGAAAAAGATTCGGTGTTCAGAGTTTCCAGAGGATTCTTGCGAAGGATCCAGTGTGTAGGACGCACTCTGTTGGTTCCGTTCCACCCACAACTGTGTCATCTTCAGCAGGAG